CTTGGCAACCACATAGCATGTAGTAAGGCAGAGACGTAGGGAGAAGGAATTGGGGGAAGGGGTGGAGAGCAAGGAAAGAGAGCGAGACTAAATGAAAAAAGGAAGGGATCTGGCAGACACGGCCTCCACCCAAACAAGGCCTCTGATCACATCAATAATTGGCTATGGTTTTGTTCACCCTGGTTTTACAGTTACCATTAGCTTTGATCTATTTTTTGATGGCGCACAAGCAGCAGTCTTGGTTTATTTGATGCTCACAGAAAGATAAAAAGTCCCCTAAGTTGTCAAATATTTGGAACATATTAAGATGATCAAAAAATCCATGTCATGACTCATTTAAATAGTCAAAATATACATAGCCTATATGTTTAATAAACTATGAAAATTGAAGGCTGCCCAATAATAGTCAAATAAATGTTAGTCAACAAAAGGAGGCTTGGTCGACTAAATTTTAATTAGTTGATTAGTCGTGGAAAAAACCTCAGGAAGACAGGAAGTGGAAACATCGAAGATCCAAATTGTGAGAACATTTCGAGAGGATAAAAATGACCACAAAACGGTGACGTGCGAACTCAAACATGATTTATCAGCCACTTCACAAGGCTGGCCGCTCACTCTCACGTTAACATTAATCTTGATGAATGTGAGGTAATATTAGGCGGATATGCATGTGTTCTTAGGTGTGTAAGCTAAATTAGTATTGTGTTATCTGCACAGCATGTTTAACTTAACTTCTACAGTATGTCCACGCCATAAAAGAGCGCATCTTCACTGTGAGCAAGACAGAGCTCACTTCTTCCCGACAACGTGGATCAACGCATGTTCCTTTCTCATAAGACTGAGATTGGAAGAAAAACATTGTGATGTGAGTCAGATATAGCCTGATTGTCCATATTGTTTTAGTGTTTCAGATGCTGCTATATATTTTATTTATTAGTTTTTATATAGGACTAATGTATATTTATTTTGTTTGTGTTCCGACCTCTAAAATCTGAGTTTGTGTTCTGAACTCAGAAAAGTTTATGTCATGTTTGCCGGTGTCGCTGAGGCAAGCTTGAGCACTTAATTTATGTTTTAAATGCTTATTATTATGGTTAAGTAGTTGTTTTGCTTTATCACCAGACTCAATATTCGGCTCGTTCTTACATTGTAGAGCACGTTCGCACATGCGCACTCTTCAAGCACGTTACTTCAAATCTTTTGAAATACTAAAAGACGTAAATTACATTTGTATGTATGCTGAATAAAAGGCACCGGTTGAACTGAATGTCAGCTTGCTTATTTTGCTCAAGATAAGGATTTATTACTTCCAAATGTCATGAAATATAGAAATGATGCTTCTAACCACAGGTCGAGAGCTGTCGTTCAAACCACCCAACTTTGCGATGCTGTTTCTGAATGTTCGTTGGAACGATGGTTTCGGGAAACACCGACTCGTTGAACTATGCTGATAACGACGGAACTTGCGACCATAGTTGGCAAACGATGCTTTCGGGAAACGCACCCCAGAGCAACGAAGAAGGTGGCGTAGTCAGAGCGATTAAAAATGACTCAAGTGCCGTTTTTTGTTCGTGTTTCAAAGAAAAGCTTAACTTTAAATCATCCAGAGTCGCTGCCAAGCTCGCTATTGGCCGATGTTGGTCATGTGTGTGATTGCGTGTGATGTACAACAACAGATCATACACTGTTAAACTAGTAACCTGACTCGAGGCACAGAGAGAAGGAAATGAATAGTTGAAAAAAAGCTGTTATTTTGGTTGTTGTTTTTTTGCGCGCAAAAAGTGTTCTCGTCGTTTGATAAACTTAGGATTGAGCCACTGTAGTCACTTAGACTATTTTAACAATGTCTTTAATAACTTTTCGAGGCCGACAAGTTTCGAATTCGTGTTCCGAACATGAACGAAGGTCTTGCGGGGTTGCAACAACATGAGGGTGAGAAATTTTTGGGTGAACTATCCCTTTAAGTTTTTCTCTCCTGACTAATCGACTTATAGCTTAAATGAACGACTAACAATTGAGTACACAAATCTTTAGTTGGACGCAGCCCTACAAAACTGTGACTGAATGCATTTTCATCATATGGAAAAGAGCTGCGTTGACATTTATGATAATAACTCTTTACACACGGCACAGGAAAAACGTTTCGAGTGACATCAGGGTGGGTGGATGATTTAGTTTAAAGCTAATGATTGAGACATGTAAATGAGACTTATGTCACAGCATTTTACACTTTTTAACCTAAAATAGTCAATTAACTTATCACAGGTACAACTACTTATTTCTTTAAGTTCCAAACTCAACACAGAGAGACTCGACTTCTGACTCCAGAGTTTGACTAGTTATGATGCTGTTTTGCTACTAACACAAACACAATATATTCCTAGACAAGGCAAAGTCACAGTAACGTCACACAGATATGCACAAAAATGTAACACATTCAGCTACCTCTTTATCTTTTCTCTTTCTGTCTGAAAGCTCAAAAAAGCAGAACCTTCTCAAATAAAGCTGAATACATTGGTTCTGATTTTCTGATCGTCCTGTTCTCCCTGAGACTGTAAAAAATCCCACCCTTGTGAGCGGCACTCTGATTAGATCAAGGGCCTCATCAAAGCATTCCTTCCCCAACACTGACTTAAACTGCATTTCTCATGATGGCAGATGCCCTATGGGACAAACTCGTTGTGGAGCATATGAGGTTAAGTCAAGAGTAACCGCAACTTGTTACCTATTAAACACTTTTGTCAAGTCAAGTTCGGACGACATTTGTTATGCGTTTGACTGATTTGTGAAAATGTTCTTCAAATAACTGAATCACTGTTGTCTAAATACCATAATACAGCTATGGATAAAACAAACAGAGACATGGCAAATATGTCAGGCTATTGATATTTTCCTGCTGATTTTCCCTTTTTTGTGTTTCATAAAGTTTAAATGCAAAAAAAAACAACCCATAAAAACAAAACAAAAAAAACACTGTCCAATTTTTTTTACCTGTTCCACAGAAACACTTGTTTCCATTCACTGGCATTGATTTAACTTTCTCTCTCCTTTATTTTATTTTTTCCAGGAACCCAAAACTGCCCAAAGCTGGATCAGATGAGCGAAGGCCTCTCTGACCTTGCTGAAGGTCACACTTCTTTGCACTCTACGGGCAGTTAAACACAGCTCGCTGATTCCAGGCACGAAACTCACAGTAAGAGAACAAGTCATCTGTGTCACCAGAACACTGATTAACAGAAAACGCTAAGTTCGCTAACTTTTAGAGGTCAACAGGAAGTCATGCCACCCGACACTTACACTCTACCGGCTGTTTTGCGTCACTGAATTAGAAGTGATAAAACAGACATGGAACGAAGACGAAAAAGACTGACTTAACATGTTAAATGCAATAATGAAGGGTTTAATGAATGAGTCTTTGACACATTGTCCTCCATTGCCTCATGCCAACTCACCCAACTACACAAAATCTGATTTCCAAATCATCTTTGTGCAGTAATGAATGAGCAAGATTACTTTTGACAGGCTATTTCAATGATGCAAAATAAGTAAAGTGTGGCACTGATGTGACAGTAAGATAAAAAGGAAATGCTGGCCTACATATTCTTGCATATGTTCAAAGAAAACACATCCATTCACACCAACAATGGTAACAATAATGATAATTATAACAACAACGTTTCAATAATCGTTACAATTCTATAAAGAAGTCCACATCACAAATCTATATGCCAAACAATTAACGACGCAGTGGGACAAAATCGTGGCTAGAATCGTTTTCAGAATTTTTTCGCTGTTTTTCACGATGAACGGATAAAAACACTGACATAAAATCAGGATCCATCTGCATTCAAAGCAGAAGACGACATAACTGCAGCGAGACATAACTTAAGTTAATACAGTGGAGATTGGTTTAACCAACAGAAACTTAAAATATTTTTATCTAAAATAAATAAATTATCTAAGTTGATTTGACAAAACATTTTTTTTAATCATTAGCCTATAGTTATCGTTCTTGGTGCAATGGGACTTAACAGCACACTTGACCAAAAAAAAAAAAAAAAAAAAAAAATCTAATAAAATTGTATTTAATTATTTACCTGCTTTGGATAAAGCTAACTACATTTATATTAAAAAATATATCCATAAACCTATTCAAATATAATGATGAATACAATTTCACTTATAACATATTACAAATGTTTAATTAACAGACGATCAAATTAAATTTGACTGACAACGCTGCCTTCTAAATGTGCCAATATCACCTCTGTGTTCATGGCATATTCCGGAGCCGATTTAGTCTTGCTTGCTTTTTATTTTTTATTTATTATTTTTTTAAGAAAGAGCATCTGTGTTTCTCTCCCTCAAATTGTCAGGGTAGTGCCATATTTGGTTTTTAAGGGATAAAAACGAGGATGTGAGGAAAAGAAGTACACTGTATTTACCTCTATACAGTAGCTACGTAAATGGAAAACCCGGACACGGAATTCTCTGACAGACTCCGGTCCACTCATACACAACGCTCCAGGCCGGCATTTAGTGCGCGAGTTGCTTGTTAACGCAATAACTTGAATGGCAGATAAAACACAGAAACCGGAAAAATATAATATTGATTATGTTAATATCGTAAGTAATATTAAGTAATAATATTAAGTAATAAGTCATATTGATTACTTGGTAATGTACCTTCATTATATTCTTAGCCTACAATCTGCCTGTGATGTTGATAATCAGTATCAAGTGATTACCTGCGGCCTTGTGCTTACAGGCAAATAACAGTGTTGATATTAATCTCCAAGTGTCATACATTGATTAAATGAATAGGCTATATTGTCCTTCACCATTTCATAACTTTTTTTTTTCTTTACTGAGCCATTTCCTGGACATAGCTGTGCAGACTTACACTGCTTGACTTACACTGCCTCAGTGCTACGCTATGCCATACAGAATAACATTATTAATTAAATAAAGACACTTAATACACAAAACTGAACACTCACCGAAGTTAAAGTCAGAATGTATGTATTTTTAAGAAAGATATCCGTCCGAGGAACTTTTTTACACAAACTTCTTCGAAGATGTCCGTGACTTTTCCTCCAGCGGTGACAGCAAAAATGCCTCGTGAGAAAATGCATAAATGTCCAGAAAGGATGTCCTCTCTACTTCGACTGATAATCGCCGCGTTCGTCGTCTTCATAATGACTTTATCATGTCTTCAACTTCACAACAAAACCCGTCCTCACGTCATTTCAAGTTTTTGGTCAAAGCAGATATAACGTTAGAATGTATTTGCATAAACTGGTGGGAACCACCACAAGTGCGTATAATTACCGCACGCGACGCGACAAAAATAGAAATTGACCGTTATAATCTACTTAATATTATAGTGGTTTCGTTAGTTTTATAGCGTCGCGTCGCTCTTTTACAGTGTAGATACGGCGTTAGAGTCAATAATAAAGCTTTGTAAGATGGCAACTGTAAGCTGTAAGGCTGCTTGACTTCTTCGTCCGAGCGCACTGTAAAGCTGTCACCCACTCCGGGCAATCTGTCACTCCTGACTTTTTCTATTCGGATTCCTGCGCTTCGGCCCGCCCCCTTTCTGTCATCGCTGTCGAGTCCTGACCAATCAACAGGCGAAGCGCTTTCATCCACGATGGTGCATGACCTCTTGACCGCTGTACTTTTATTTTTTATTTTTTTGTCCATATCTGAGTATTTTTTACATGCATCACAAATCTGCCGAATTATGAATGGATTTACATAGGTTAATTCAAAATGGACACATTGCTATTGATTCTGTACCAAACCATATGCTTAGATACTTTTATTTCTCTGTTTAAAATCTCTCTGGATATGTTTGCTTTTTTCCATAGTGTATTGCATATGCTGATAAAAATCAATGTATTTTATATATTGACAATCAAAATCACTTAAAAAAAAATCAACAAGTCATCCGAAATGCTTGGACGTTTTTTATTTTATTTTATTTTATTAAAAATACACTTCAGGGTTCTGAGAAAAAAAAATATCCCTTTATTCTGGAGGGACGGTGAGTAAGAGTAATGTCAGTGAAAAATATAGAAAGGTCTATGCAACTACTTAGGTTAAATGAATTGAAATAAAAAATGTGGCATCAACTAACCATCTTTATCTTATTATATTATGGTACCATGCCCCACGAAGGTCACTAACCTTGAGGTAAAATGCTGCTCTTTCTTACACTATTTTCATAGGAGATTCAAACTTTAAACCTTAAACATTTAACATAATCTGTATTTTTATGTACAACTTAAAATTTTATTATTTGATAGATATATCAAATAATACTTATAAAAGTGTAAATATATATATATTTTTTTAAAGTTCCTGCCCATTTAAGAGTTAAATAAGACACAAAAGGACAGAGAGGTCATGACTTGTCGGTCATGTCTTTGAGAGGACAAAAGTTGATGTTGGTTTGCATGCTCCCATGTGGAATATTTTGAACACAAACTGACCGCCGAGGGCAGAAAAACTGGTTTTGGGGTTTTAGATTATTATGAAGACAATTCACAGTTGGAACTTGCAAGCTGGCTTATGTGTTGACACAATAAGCAGGAGCTTGTGTACTTAAACTGTCATAAGGGCCACGTCACCTCACTATACTGTACATGAAAACAACAGAACTGATGTTATCTGTATCTGGGCTGTTAACTTAAAATAGCACACAAGTGACCCACACCAACAAGTTTATTTTCTGCATGTTTTCACCTTCCAAAAGAATCAGTATAAATGGTGTGATGATGACTCCAACACACCATTTAAAACATGTTAGTTTATTCAGGCACACACTTTCTCACAAAAGATTACAGTATGAACTGCTGCATTGTTTATTTACATGTCAAAATTATTTATAGGTAAAAAAAATTGTGCTGATTTAATAAGTTGCTTTCTCTTTTAGTCTTTTGAAGAAAAAGACACACTGAACTACTCCGGGAATGAATCATGATTTATATTCATAATTTTTTTTTTAAGATATTCTGACATTCTTAAGTGCCATTTACAGTACATGTAAAACACTTTTTATCTCAACCATTTTGTAAATTATTATTAAATGTGAACTGCACCTTAAATTTCAGTCACTCAACTCCAAAGAACATAATCTATCTCCATCAAGTGGAGAACATGCAGTACTACCACTTGGGACAGTTACACTAAGACTAAGGAGTGTTATATTTACTGATTTGTTTTAATTTTTAAACAAACAATCTGTGTAAGACTTACATTGCTTTATTGATCAACTTCAAAACACTTAATAGATGCACAATATCACTGCTACGAAGAATGATTTACATATTTCCCTTTCAATTCAATAATTTAATCAACATATATACATACATTATATATATAATATGTGTGTGTGCGCATGTGTTCATTATGTGTTCTCTTGTACAGGCTCTACAAAGTCTTCTCCATGGTACAGCCCAAAGTGGAGTTCACCCTGCTGGGCAGCGGCCCATGACATCTGTAAACTGCTGAAGCGAGCTGCCCAGGTCCCTTTGGGATCTACCACCACCACCCCTCCGAGACCCTCCACCCGCTCCTTCATATACGCAAGAGCCAGGTCACTCGCTTCCTCAGGTGTTTTCCCTAGAGAACATAAAAGAATGTCACTTAACTATTTTATCAAACTATGCACTGTATTATCATTCCAGATCTCTTTGCCAGATGTAGGTGACCATAAAGTGCACGATAAAGAAGGTGATCATGCAAATGATTTAAATGCTATGGAATGGATCTCAGGAGACCACATAAATCTTATCAACACTCCGCCCATATAACGCGTATAAAAAAGGTGAGATCAGCAAAAACACTTGCCGTTGTTTCCACACATACAAGGCAAAAGCATGCACAGTCAATTCACCTCAACAGAAAACAAAGGCAAACTTGTACTACAAAAGATAATGTCTGGATAAAAAGAGGCCCTGTTGTATGAAATGTTTTGAGGATGTACAGACTGGTTAATCTTCACTTTACTGCTCAGACAGCTCTACACCTCTGACTTCCATGTGTCTTCTCATTGCAAATGGTGCTGGAGGAGGTTTTACGAAAACCACCATAAAAGACTGGCTCAAATTGTTTTTGCTCAGACCCATGAAGTGAGCAATGTTTACCTAAACACACTTGAGGTCAAGCATCTTAATGAGGCCCTCGATCTCAGTTAATGTGTAGCTGAAGTAATTCAAGCTGTTTATTCATTGGGTAAAATGCTGCTAGCAATCATTCTCACAGCTAATCATGAACACATGCGAACAGTCCATTTGAGCTCATGTCAATATACCAGTTGCTTCTAAATCAGTATTACAATGCAGATTGACTTATGGTCTAAGATGTGACATTTATAGATGCCATGGCGTAAAAATACAAAACCTGCTGATTACAAGTGCGCAGTACACTGAAAGAGATATATCAGTTGGCCATATGGCTAGTTTACATTTTCTTTATATATTACGATAAATGTGGCTAGTATAATGTATAGGACAGGCATTAAGCTTTTTAATTGAAATCTTACCCATCTTTGTCTAATTTTAATTTCTCTCCAATCCAGCTCTAGCCGTCTCTCACAAGTTCCTAGTAATTAATATATATACTGTATATATATATATATATATATACACACACACACACACACACACAATATATATATATATATATATTTGTTTCTTGTGGACCCCTGAGCTTTTATTAAAATGATTACCAAAGTCTTTCAAGGTTATTTTAAAATACATTTCATAGTCATTTGTTTTGATACTCAGCTTTTATAACTTGTGCTAATATGAAAAAGCAATAATATGGGAGACATGAAATGCATTTCACTATTGCCATAGACAATGATAAAATACACTACCCGTTTAAAAGTTGAGGTAAATGTTTTTGAAGGAAATCTCTTATCACCAAGGATGCATTTATTTTATCAAAAAATACAGTAAAAACAGCAACATTGTGAGCAACCTTTTTCTATTTTCTTTTACATTTTTATCAATGCTGAAAACAGTTGTGTTGCTTAATATCTTTGTGTAATCCATGATACATATTTTTTCAGGATTTGCTAATAAATATAAAAATATCAAAAGAACAGCATTTATGAAAAGCTGCATTTCATCATTGAAATGGATACATTTTATAACATTATAAATGTCTTTACCGTCACTTTCGATCAATTTAATGTGTCCTTGCAATAAATAAAAAAATAATAAATTCATTCATTGTTTTAAATAGTACTGATCCCAAACTTTTGAACGGAATTGTATAAAGTTTAGCAGTTATTACAAACTAAAGTGGCCGCCTAATACAACTGAACTGACCAATCAGAATCAAATATTAAAGATAGTGAAAAGTGTAATGTTCATAGTCAAAATAAATACTTGCGTAAAAAAAAAAGTATGATAATTTGGTTTGTAAAAAATATCCCAAAGCTTTATTTGTTTATGCTAAATAGGCTGTGCTGATCTTGTAACACATGCCTTGCTCCATGTGAAAGAGAACCAGTCTGGACAGAGTGACCTTCATAATGGCTTCCCCATGTCCTGTCGGTGAGACAGCCCCAATCTTGTTATCTGCATAGCCACCACATCCTGAGAATCAGAGATAGAAACAAAGATCCTGAGAGAGATCTTTCCTACACACACACACTCAGCAAACAAGTTTCTCCAGATAACCATCCACCTATTTAAAGCAAACCCTGATAATAACCAGCCACTGCATAACTGAGAATAAAGCATCTGTCTTTTTTCATTTTTGTTTATTTACTTATTAAGCAGACAATAGCAGCTCTTTTATCTATCATTAACTGGTGTGTGAGTGTGATCCCCACAGGTTAAAGTGTGTCCTGAGAGAATGTATGTGGTTTGAATATTAACCCTGCAGGCAACAAGCTCTCATGAGCAGCTGAAATTTACCCACATTACTGCATGTCCAAAGGTCAAAGTTCAATCCCTGTCACACCAGCTGCTTAGGATTAATCTAATTAAAGGTTTAATTTTTCAACAATTTAAATATTTTCTTCTATCTCTGCTCAATATCCAGAAACAGCAATAAGTACGCAATTGTAGGCTGATTCCGCCCAACTTTGTAACCACTAGAACTCAAGAAATCAAATCAACACCTCTTACATACTCTACAAAGCAGCAGGTTTGAATTTACCAACACACGGCGTGTCTCCCACACGGCCCTCCATTTTATTAATCATTCCACCAGTGGATGTAGCACAAGCAATGTTTCCGTCTATGTCCACAGCTACTGCACCTACTGTTCCCATCTTGCCCCTGAAACACATGCACAAAAATGGCTTTAAAAATGCACACCGACAAAATGGCCAACTAAGTGGTAGCAAAGGAATAGCTGACTAAAAATTAAGAAAGAAATTAGATAAAGTCGATAAACAATTACCTAATTTCTAATTCATTTCTGTCATGATGACAACTTTAGGAGTGATCTGCTACTCTTCTGCTATTTATTATTGTTGATGCTACAGAGCAAATCTGACTATTGCCTACACGGTCGTGTACTGATTGGAACTGTACTGCAGCAAGACTGGTTTCATTATATAAATTATAAAATGTTCGTATTAGCTGCTTGGTACCAATTTAAGTTGTAGGCTACTTTTGACTTACTATATTTAATTTTTAAAATGGCACCATTTAGGCAATGGTCTCTTGCTAGACATTCCCACTGAGGACTAAGCCCCCTTGAGAAACACCTTCTAGAGTTTCATTACAAAACTTTGCATATAATGTGCATTTTAAATGAATGCACAAAATACCATGCAAACCACTGAGTTTTCTTTTTCAATGGACACATATTACTGTATGTGTGTTTGTGTTGGCATAATGCGGATAGTAATATGGATATTACAACAAGCAAGCAAGTCACAGGTTTGAAGCAGCATCATTTCAGGGTGAACAATCCCTTTAACCATTGTTGCGACTTTTTTTCTTAGTAGAAGTTCTAGACATTAGACATCTTATGCCAAAAACATTATGTCAGCACTCTGTACTAGTTTTCATTACATAAAAGCTTTACATTTGGCATTCCACAGGGTTGGCATCTTGCTCCAGGTTCTTCTTCCAGCGCATCTTGGCATAGTCTGTGATCAATGACTCCTCGGGCACTTCCGGTACACCCATGCTTCTGGCAAACTTAGAGGCCCCTTCAGCTGTCAGACACAAGTGGTTGGTCTCCAGAGAGAGGAAAGAAATTATTTACATTATTAATTTCCCTATTTGAAATGTAAAGTGTTCTAAAATCTTCTAATGGTTGTATTCAATGTATGAAAAAAAGCAGTTGATAGCATATAGCCTAGTATTCCTTAATTATTGTGTGATGTGTATCACTTTTAATTTTTTTAACCTTGGTAATTGTAGATTACTCAAAACTAAATCTCCCATGGTGGTCATGTACAGTGTTTTGGGAATACTACCTGTATGAATTTTACAAGAATACCTTCTCCATGACAAGCCTGGCCAGTTGCACAGGGTTAGCCACTCTTCGGACTGCTGACACAGCCCCGCTAGCTAGTGACTTTCCATCCATCACAATTGCATCCATCTCTACTTCCCCCTTTACATTTAACACTGACCCCCGACCTATGACATACGGGAATTACCCAAATTTTCTACTTATTCTGGATGTAGTATTAGGTATTAGGCATAAAATATATAAAATGAATTAAACATGAATATTATGAGCACCTGCATTGAATCTTGGGTTGTTCTCCATGGAGGTCACTGCTTCAACCACAGCATCAATGGCACTTCCACCCTTCTGGAGGATGGCATACCCAATCCTGGCTGCCTCTTTCACACCGATAGTAGAGAGTTCAGCTCTTTCTTTAGGAATATGACCAGCACCTCCATGCACCACCACTACAGGCAGCATATCTGTCTGCAAATACATAAACAGCAAATATTATTGACATAGCACAATCCTTAACGTCACCATGAAATCAATTTTTTTATGGAATATCGTAGTATTTATTAAAAATGATTTATCTGTGCACATCATTATTGTTTTTTTTTTAATTCATGTGCCTTAGTAATCTTTAATCAAAGTAACTTCCCATTGTTGCAACGACATCTCTTTTCTGATTACGGGTTTACTGGATTCACTCAGATATACGTCGTTCAATTCTGCTGACTTTGTTTAGAACTACTTTCGGCACATGATTCAAAAAGAATTACATTTAAGAATTCTTTATAGCATATATTTGGTTATTATAACTTGTAAAGATGTTCTTTTATATTTTGAATCAAAAATATTTTTTAGTGGATATTATTATTTTATATGGTACATTTAATTTACATAAAAGTAAAAGAAGTAACTCTAAGTCTAAACCATGTTTTGAGTTTTTTATGTTTGACTATGCATTGATAACAAAAAACTGGTTACAGTATACAATTATTGTAGCTGAAGAGTTAAAGTAAATAAAAAACGTAAATAAAAAAACGTATTCAATTATTTTAAATGTATTTTTATTCAATTGATAACAAAACCTGATTACAGTATACAATTGTAGCTAAAGAGTTAAAGTAAATTAAAAAACATATTCAATTATTTTAAATGTATTTTTATTCAATTCATTTTTGTTTGTTATATTTGTTTGGATTGGTATTTGTATATGTATTTTATTTATTAAATAGAAAATACTTTAGGCGGAAGAAAAATAAAGCCTATGCTAACTTAGGCTACTATATAACTTGTGTGTTTACCTGTTGTATAAAAGCAATAACAAAAATCGTTCTTTTGGTTTGAATATCATTTCTTCAGTATGAACGTTTGACCTAACGCAAAACCAGCTTCACAACACGTCACGCATAGTATTTACTGTAGCTATTTTTTACGTTGCACATGGCTAAACTGTATGACTAGACGTCATACACATTTACATACAGTAAGTCAATGGTTTTTAAATCCTATCACAATGAATCTGTCCACAGGTAGACTACTGCATTTCAGCATATGTGCAATACGGATATTTTTGGTTAATTTACAATGCCTTGTCAATATGCGTTAATAATTTCGTCACATAAAGTGCAAGAGTAATTTGTCAACAAATCCAAATGGAGCGTTTTTGTCATTCTGTGCCACCCACGTACACGCGCCCATATGCATAACATTAAAAATTATATTTACCAAGGGTTTCTCGACAGATTTTTGACAGAAACATAAAAATCAGAGATCGCAGAAGTGCATTAAATCCAATGAAGCTGGAGATTATGTCACGAGGAAATATGCGCCATGGCTGCTACAGAGAAAACACCAAAATAAAAGTCGTCTCAAGAAAGTAGTCTTTCATCACCTCAGGGGTGAAAAATTCGGTTCCTGAGGGGCCACATCATGCCTGCAGAGTTTATTGCTGCTTCAACACACATTCCTGTAGTTTTCAATAAGCCTAAAGGACTTGATTATCAGGTGCATTAATTATGCTAAACTGCAGGGTTGTGGCCTTTAAGAAACTGAAGAAGTCATTCCATATGTGAACACAGTCAATCTTTAGCTTTAACACAGACAATATGAAGGGATTGTTTTTTTTTAATGTTAAACTAATGTCCTAGGCTATATATTAGATATTAATTAGATATTACCCAGATATTAATGGGCAGCATCTGATTAATCAAATAATTATTATTTATTAATAAGTTGTTTAAAATATGTTCACATCTCTAGTGTCAAAGTGGGACACCGCACTGTAAAAATATGCTGTATTAATAATAATAAAAAAGAAGTGTTTAGTTTAGTCAACTTGAAGTTTAAAAGTCTATTAACTGGAAACATATATTCAAGTTCAACCCAGAGAAGTTATTAAAATTTTTTAAGTTGTGATAGCTGATTGCAATCGTATTTTAAAGTCCTTTTATTTTAATAGACCTACAACAACATTTAACTCAATAGACTTGCTCAGGTTATGAACTGTGGTTTATGGTGGTATAATGGCCTACAAATAGAATGTGTTCTCTTTAATATGACTAAAATGTCCTACATGCATTATAGGACAATTGTATGAAAATTGTTGTGTAACAAATTAATTGTTATATTCCATATAAACTAATTAACAGTCACAAATTACCAGAATGGAAGTGATGTTTCACATTTCAGAATGTTTCCTGCACCAAATTAAATGTGTATGAAACACTCCCTGTAATGCCAAAACTAAATCCATTGCCATCCCATTTCGGGGTAGTGTCACTGTGAACTAAAAAGATTTAAAAGAATATAAAAATAATTATTGTGCATTATTAGCTAAATTTTAGACACTCGTCTGTTGCGTCCTGAATTTATACGACTTGAACCCTACTTGCAAGCAACGCGCTGTTAATCTCATGGTGAATCTCAAAGCGTCTGCTGTTGGTGAATGATGCGCGTCATCAGCGCGCTATGATTGGAGAGCGAAAATAGGATGCTGTGTGCGCGTGCAGTGAGCCCCCATTCTCAAATGAGATGCGCGCGGCCGTCTCGAGGAGGCGTGCGCGCGCTTGAGGGGCTGCGGTCCCATTGACTATTCCGTCTCCCTGACAGCGGCAGCATCAGCAGCAGCGCGAGCTCGGTAAACAGAGCGAGCGCCGAGCGGACTCCGCCTTTGCTCCCATCATCCCACCCCAGAGCCCGAGCTCCGAGGCGGCTTCATCAACAAGCGCAAGACCCCCCTCGTCGACTCGCACTTATCCCGCGGATCAGATATGGACTACCCTTAACTGGACCTGGAGGGGAGAGGCTGGCGGGCGGGCGGGGGGTGGGGGGGAGAGAAACAGAAGAAAAAGCCGTATAGGAAGAGAAGCACAACCGTGGGTGCCTGCCGCAACGATGAACGGTTCGCCACGCTCGCGACAACCGCAGATAAGCCATCGGACTATGGCCTGAATAGCGGTTTACATAGCTGGGATTGTGCACCGATCATACAGGGGTAAAATATGTCCGCCTCGGTGGGGCCCCGCGGTGGCCCTCGCCCACCCACAACGCAGAGCTCCATGCCCGATCTACCGGACCTCAGTCACCTCACCGAGGAGGAGAGGAAAATTATCATGGCTGTGATGCTTCGGCAGAAGGAGGAAGAGGAGAAAGATGAGGCCATGCTCAAGTAAGACATCACGCTTTATAGGGGGAGCCTGTAGTATTCGTGCTTCTTCTGGAGACCAAAAGGCAAACAGCTTGTGATGGTTTCTGTAGGTGCATCTGTTTGCTATAGCCTACTAATAAAGCCATCAGGCTGTACGCCTGCACATGAGCTCCAGTGTGTGTGTGTGTGTTTTAAGTGTGGGTGGGTAAGTCTGGCCATGTCCACTTTTTCCAACCTTATGGACACTTGTCATGGATGAGCACTGATATGTGTGTATTATACACATCGCTATGAAACGAGCTTGTTAGATGTCTGATGAATTGCAATGAACAGCCAGGTGAATGGTCGCAGGTGTAGCTGTTAAATAGAGAGGGGTGTGTCAACATGCAAGAACTAAATATCTACAAATTTGTTTTACACCTCACTATGTGATGGATAATTTCAGGCAGCACACGTGTCATGCCACATTATTGTGTATTAGACTCATCATACCTTTTTAAAAATATTTTTAATAGGTTAGTGAACGTATTTTCTGCACTATTCACCACCAGTGTCAGGATTCCTGCCTGGTCACGACAATATTTCCGTGCCTCGTCATCATGACCGTCAGGATTCTTAACCCATTCATTGAAATCTTCACAGATTGTAATTTGAGCACCACTTACAGCTTGGGTAGAGGCAGTAGTCACCTTTGTGTTTGTGTTTAATCTTTTCTTTTCTTATTAGATCATCTTAAAAAATAATATTCTCTTTAGTAATAACTATTTATAACAGCTTTCATACAAAGAATTCAGCTCAAAGTGTGTTTGAGAATAACTAGTAACAATAGGGGGACCATAACATAAAAATACCATCTGAAGAGATCTGATATATGACAGGCACTTGTCAGGAATTTTCATGTAGGATGGATTATAAAGATTTCATCTGAATAGTGGTTCACTGTTGTTATGGTGAGTGTGAAGATGTTTCTTGGCTTCCTGTCCACCTGCCATTTAAAGGCCATCGTTGTTCATATTACATTAGTTGTTGGCCACCTTGAGATTTGAAATCAGATTTATGCGTCTCAAATTGGTTTACTGAGCAGCTACAATCAATAACTTGTCCTATATTTCTCATAGGAAATGATTATGCAATTATTCAATTTCTCAGCCCTTGTGTATCTTTGTCAGTAAGTCGCCATGATAAATGCATCGTTTTCAAATGGGTAGTATGGGTCAAATGATGTACAGTTTCAGTCACACAGTATTTTTTATAGAGATAAGAAAAAGACCAACATAGTCTGTCTCTTATAGTGTACTGATAAACAACCTCTCATTTGCTGTGAACGTTATGAGACAGTTTGAATGGTGAACAGTTCCTCATTCTCAAAGAAACTTCTGTCCTGAAGCAGAAGCTAGAGGTCGACCTCACAACGCTTTTGAGGCATTCAGAAGTACAACAATTGTGTGCTAGCTTAAAGGGACACCCAAAAATGAGAATTATGCTACCATTTACCCATGGCATTACAAACCTGAATTACAAAACTTTCTTCTGTGCAATGTAAAAGAAGATAAGTTTGGAGTTTTTATTTTTTTTAAATCTTCTTTTGTGTTCTGTTTGGGTGTTCATGTGTTTTGAGAGTTATGTAATTATTTGGACGGGGAAAAAGTTTTTTACACATTAGAATAATTTTACACATTTACTGTCACTGTCTAAAATGTGTTTTTTTACAGAGAGGAAAAGCCCATACAAGCAAAAACAGTGAACCTGGTCGGGAACAAGAAACCACCTCAGCAGAACGACATCAGGTAAACATCTCAACAAAGTTTACCTGCAGAAAGTTAATAAACGGTACAATGTTAGTATTGATAAACATCGTAGTGGCCGGGCCATTTCCATGTTATGCAAGTCATTTAATGTTCTGACTGATTGTGAATGACTGCGGTTTCTATAAATGTCAAACAATGAGGCCTTGACAACTCTGCTACAAAATGTAGGACTTATACATGATGATAGTGAATGAAAGGTCAAGCTTGACCTTAAGGAGGTGTTCGATGCAGGTACTTTCTTGCAGCTGTAGTGTTTGTAAAGTTTGAAGTTAGCAGTGTCTAAAAATGAGACTACGGTATTGTTTAATGCTTTAAATGACTGCGTTATATGTTTTCAATCTTTTCTATTAACTTGCTCGTTGGGGTCACGCGGAAGTTGCTGAGAGTGGCACTGTGTTGTAAATCAAAGCCTTTCTCACAGTCGCATTATTTTTCCCTGTAAAAACAAGAAAACAAATCCTGGCACCTGTGGTGGTGCTTTAGAGTGCTGACAGAGTAATATTTATGCTATGTTAAATTATTTATGCACACCAGTATTGCCCTGGTTCTCTCAGCCGAAGAAAAAGAGAACTGCAGTGTGGTTCATATCAACAGAAAGAGTATTTCTCTCATAATCGCTCTCTGTGGTCTCTGGAGGGGTCAGAGGATCAGAAAGGGGGCAAGTTGGCCAAAGCACATCTGTTTCTGTGTGGACTTCCTGGATGTGGTCACTTGTGGTGTCATCAGCTTGACCAATAACATGCTTCAATTAGAGCTCTGCAGTTGTTATGTATTTTTGTAGGCCGACCCAGAAGCTGGCATCACCCTAGTTCCCTTGACAAAAAAGCCCAACAGTGTTCTTAATCGACTTTTGGATTATTATAGAAAATAAGCTGCGACCAAAAAAAAGTTTTATCAATCTAGTGATAATCTTCACTAATGAACACAGCTTTGGAAGCCTAAATACAGTGGTCAGAAATCAATATCTGAACGTAGGCTATAAACGAACTACACCACTGGCCACATGACTTCATCGTCACTACCATTAAAGGGATACTCCACTTTTTTTTGGAAATGGGCTCATTTTACAACTCCCCCAGAGTTAAACCGTTGAGTTTTACCGTTTTCAAATGCATTAAGCAGATTTTCTGATATTTAGAAGAATATCCGTAACCAGACAGTTTCTGGTCTCATTCATTGACTTCCATAGTAGGAAAAAAAATACTATGGAAGTCAATGAGACCAGAAACTGTCTGGTTATTGATATTCTTCTAAATATCAGAAAATCGGCTGAATGGATTCAAAAACGGTGAAACTCAACTGTTTAATGCTGGGGGAGTTGTAAAATGAGCCTATTTCCAAAAAAAGTGGAGTATCCCTTTAAGCTTCCAGCAACTCTTTCGGTC